TCCTTCACTGCCCCCCTGAGTTTGCACAGTTTCATGCTCATTGCTTCAGTGATGCTATCTAACCATCTCATCCTCTGCCGTCCTCTTCTCCTTTTGCCTTCAATCTTTCCCAGCATCAGGGTCTTCTCCAAAGACTCCTCTTTTCGCAATCTGCATGCTACCTCCATCATTAAAATAATTCTAGGCAACATACGTATTATACTTCTAAAAGCTACTGAACAAGTTTTTCAACATTCAGCCCTTTTCGAGATAAAACGGTAGACTTAGGATTCAATACAGAAAGCTTTCTTCTCACCTGCTTTCAATATAATAGCCTTACCCTGAAATAAAGGTCTCCATCACATGGGCACTGAATGCTGTTAGAGAACTCAAAAAAAAAAAAAAAAGGAAAACCAAACCAATCAATTACCCTCTCTCTCATAAAAAGAGAACTCCATGCAGTACAGTAATAAAAAATGTGGGTGAGTACAATGCCTGGTAAAGAAAAGTATTGATTTATCTCAACGTTCATTTGTCTCTTCCTTTGTTGACTCCGATGTTCACATTTGCTATAGGCGAAATATTTGTCCGTTTGTGACAGAGCAAATTGTTCAATTAGCAATATAAACATGATTTTAAACTGTTCATTTTTTGTTTAATTAACTCCATATGTTTACTTCGAGAGTAAACATAATTAAACAGAATATCTTTATTAGTTTAAGTCTTGGCCCATGTTTTTAGATAGCATTAGATATGGAAAAAACAGCTGGCAACAACAGTATAATACTGCCAAACATCAATTAAAGACTCGATTTTTATAAAAGGATTTTATAAATGAGACGCTATTCAAAACATGTAAGGATGACAAACCCCTTACTTTGGTTGAAACTGTATGTAACTGTAATTCTACACAAAAATAAACACCTCCATCCCATTATAATGCTTGTATAAATTTTGCTTTAGATTCTCCGCTGCTAAAAGAAAGTACACTGCTCTTCCCTTTGGGTTTAAAAGCAATTTTAAATTCTAATCTGACTGCCGAGGAAGAAAGGCAGAGATTCTACTGGGAAAGATGATTTAAACGTCTACTTCTCGCATCCAGAAATGTTGCCCACAGAACAAAATCCCTTCTCGCTCCCTTCCTCATACAAGTACACAAGTATCCCGTGCCCGCTGGATGGCAGTAAGTGCCTGCCACACAACAGTGACAGCTTTAGATTCCAGCGAAAGCAGCTTACATGGGAGAGAAACTGCAATGTTTGAATGCATTTAATGTTTGTTGTCATCTGTCTAAAGGACAATCATAGGAGGTCCAATCAGAATCAAGGCATGACAAAGGGGAGATTGGTCTTTTCCATGTCTGCTGTAATTCCAGGGAAAATCCCCCTTCCTAATCCTATGAACCCCACCACCACCACCACCACCATCACCACCACCACCACCACAAGCAACTTCTCCCTAGGTGGGGCAGTGGAATTTTCCTGCATGGAAGTCAATTGACCTTCCTTTTTAATCCCATCCACGCTGCATCTACTGTTAACAATGCAGTTGCTTCTTCTCATGTCACCAGTCTTATTATTTAAGCCTTATTATTTATTACTTTTTATTTCATAAAGTTTCCAGATGGTGTTCAAGGGCAGCCCCATATGTTGCAGTAGTCTAAATGGGAAGTGACTAAGGCATGGGTGACCATGTGCAGAGCTTTCCAGTCTGGGAATGGGCGCAACTGGCACACAAGATGAATTTGTACAAAGGACCTCCTAGGCCATGACTGCCACCTGCTCCTTGAGCAGGAACTGTGAGTCCAGGAGAACCCCCAAATTGTGCACCAACTCTATTCGAGGGAGTGATACCTCATCAAGGGTTAAAGACAGCAATTCTCCAGCTCCAGGAGACCCCAAAACCCAGAGACCCCCTGTCTTGCTAGGGTTGAGTTGTACCTGATTACTCCCAGTTCAGATCCTCATAGCCTCCAGGCACTGGGTAAGCACCTGAAGGGCATCACTTGTCTGGCCTGGGGCAATGGTGTAAAACTGCATCTGCATCCTGTGCTGCTGAATGACCTCACCCAGTGGTTTTCTGTAGATGTGAAATAGGAGAGATCCTGAGCAAGATTTGGGGGGAGCCTCTAGGAAGAAAACAAGAATATGTTCTCAAATCTTTTCTAGATTTTGATAGGCATGTTCTAGAAAGCATGCTTGGTTGTACAGCTTGCTAGTCATGCCAAGACTATCTTAACAGTATGGATACATGATTTCTAACCTGAAAAGGGCTCCTGGAACTATGTCCTCCCAGTCAAATGCTTCATCTACCTTGAGAGTAGAGCAGACCCATGTCCACAACTGGTACAGAACCATTTACCATGTTGTCATCAATTCATAAAGTGCCCATGGCTCTTCCAGCAGCTGTGAGGCACACAATCAAGTGTGGAGACTTGCCATGAATGGCAGAGTTCCATGCATCAACTTCTGCAAAATATCATGGGCCACAATGGGGGTGGCTTGCAAAGGAGGCCATATTCAAGCATATATTTGTTATACTTAAGTTACCCAATTTTTCAGATTATATTAGTTCCGACTTCTTTTTAATGAGGAATGCTTCCTGTTTTGCCAACGTATCGCTGAGAGTACCTCACTTCAGACATTTTGTGCATGCTTGGAGATATCTGTTCCTCTACTTTACTTCTCATGACTAAAGTCTCAGTGGTGGAATTACAATAAATGCTGCTTCAAATTACCTTGAGAACAGTAATGTTCCAGGCAAAACTTTCCAGAGCTTTTTGCAACTTCCGTCCTTTCAGACCTTCCTTTGCCTCCAAGCGGTGCAACTCTTTATGAAAGCCCATCCCTAGAGAAATTGGGGGGAGGGGGGCAGGAGCAGCACAAGGGATGAAGGAGAGACAAAGCAGACAGTGTCACAGGCTGCTTCATCTCCCAGTCAAATGATACTTCTTTGATTGAGGCTGGAGATTTTCTTGTTCCCAGAATGCAAACAACATGAGAATTAACATTGCCCCAGCTACATGTTCTCACCTCATTATGAACCCAGTATGTAGACTGCATCTTTTTGTAGTATTTAAAAAAAGCACATTTTTTTGACCAAAAGTGACTGGAATAAAGCAAAATGTGTCTTTTCATTAAACACAGCGTGTACTCTTCCCCTCATGCTATTTTAAATTTTACTGATTTTTTCCCCCCACCCTGGCCTGCTCTGTTCCCTATATACAAATTGACCAAGGGTAGCTTGGACTAGTTATTAAAAAAATGTCTAAATAGAAATCTCTGTCTCTCTCCCTTGAGTGCCCCCTGCCCCAACCTCCTGTTGTAGGATGAACAAATGTAGGAATCATATTCTTAATTCCATCTGTGATTGGCTCTAGCACTGCCCACATTTGGCCCTAGCTACCACCTACTCTAAGACTGCTGTAGACCCTACTAGATTTGAACTAAAGTAACACCAACTTCTGCATTTCTAGACCTGCAAACTAGGAACAGAATTATGCAAAAGAAGGAATTCTTCCTAAATATGTTCTTGACAAGGATAAGATGAAGGGACTAGTCACATATAAATGTGATTTCTCAGAGTTAAACTGATATTGTCTAGAAACCACAGAAATTACTTTGTACAGTGGCTTAAGTCAAATATATATGTGACTTCTCAAAACTCCACAACCTATGGTTAATCTACTGTGAACTGACTCCATTGAAAATAATGTTCCTTGGGATAATATAGACGTCCTCAACAATATATTTGGAGCTGTAGTCATTCAGTGATGAGAACCCATGTGCAAACTGGACAGAAATTCTTTCGTGAGAGAGGAAGAATGCATTAATAGCAAGGAGCACCCTCACATATGCAGGCCAAATACTTGAAATGTTTAGTAAAATCCAGTGACAATTTACTTATTCAGTCATTTAATACAGATAGTCCTCATTTAGCAACTGTCTTGTTTAGCAACCGTTTGCAGTTATGACAGAGATTAAATAGTAACTTTATGACCAATCCTCACATTTATGACCTTTGCAGGTCTGTAAAACAAAGGAAAGCTGAAGTAAGATCATAAGCACAGCCATGGTTTCACTTAGTGACTGCTTCGCTTAATGACTGAATTGCCAGTCCCAATTGTGGTCACTAAATGAAGACTACCTGTAACACATTTTAGATGCCATCTTTAAGGTAAAAATACTTCCTTATTATTATTTGCCATCAAGTTGGTGCTGACTTTTAGCAACCACATAGATCGATCTTCTCCAGGATAATTATTATTACTGTTACATTTATTCCCAAACTTCCGGGGGGGGGGAGTGATAAAATATGCATTATGACATCACAACACAAAGTCCACTGGTTATATACTTGTGTGGGATGCCATGACACAAGTGGAACAAAAATTGATCTTGTGTTGTGATGCCATGAAGCACAGCCCCTCATTTTGATGTTATTGGGGCTAGTTGTAGACATTTATGCTAGCAACAATAAATTCACACAGAAAAAAACTGATGCACATAATATAACTCAAAAAAACTATACTGAAATTAGAGAGGGGAGAAAAGTTAAAAAATAGACAGCCAGATTAAATTAAAAATACTGATCATAAACCCTAAGCAATGACACCAGATGGAATTTTCAAACCACCTTTCATTCAGAGATAACCAGTTCACATGCTTCATTTGCAACGATGAAGCAAAGAGAAATACAAGCCATAATATCAATGTGTGTGAAACTGGTCACAGTCCAACAGATAACTGAACCATAGTGGCTGAGGAATCAGGCAAAGGTAATGCAAATCTATTTATATTCTCATATAAATAAAGCTATATTTATTCTCAGAAGGTAATGGAAGACCACAGTCTACAGAAGCGTGGGAACAGATGTGATAAACTAGAGGTCCTTTGAACACTGGAAAACATGCAACTAAGGAGGTCTATCTACTTGAATAGTGTGCCATCACCTACCTGCTTGTTGCACCTGAATAATTTTGGCATGAACAGCGTCAGCTGACTCAATTAACGTCCGGCTTGTTTGGATCATCTGGAGATTAGATGTGGGAGAAAGAGAGAGGAAGTGTGATAGCTGGGTGGATTTAGAGCAACCAGCAAAGTGTCCCAACCTCCAGGAGGCCTTTGGATCAGCCTTCCCCTTGTATTTCAGCATTTACAACAGGATAGGCAGCATAACTCTTTTTACTGCTTCACTATCCCTCTGAGCTTTCTGTTACTTGGGCTTTGCAGTCCTGGTTCTTTCTCCCAGAGGAGGGAAATATGAGCCTCCACTGTGCCACTCACAGTTCCGGACTTAAATGGTTCTTCCTTAAGCACACTCCATTCACACAACTATCTCCTTTTGTGAACTATCTCCATTCACGTTCACACAAGTTAGTCTCCTTGACATGTTAATTGCCTATGTATTGTTCTTTTGGGGATTGAGGGTTTTTGTTGCTTATTTTTTGTATTTTGGTAGTTTGGAGAAATGTTCGGTTATATGAACCCCTCCCTCATGGGCAATGTTAGTAAGCCCAGACTTGGGCTTGCCATCACAGGTCAGATGTCAATGGAAACGCAAGCATACTTCTCCATAGACAATTTTTTAAAAAGTACTTCAAACACTAGACAAAACTCCCCAGCTATGGCCCTCCAAATGTGCTGGAGAATAACTATTAACATCTCCAGCCTAGGTTGCTGGGAGTGATGGGAAATGTAGTCCAAGAACGGCTGGGTTCACACTAGCACACTAGTGCTACTAAGGACACTAAGCCACACTTTGTTAAACATGCCCCAGTGATTTGGTTCTCTCATAACATTAAGGCATAAACTGTGGTTTACAAATGACAATTTCTGGGTTCAGACTAATATTATTATGGATTAACATTATCTGTGAACATATCTAATGTCTAAGGATCCAAGGATGGGAACTGTGGCTTTAAAGGTTCATGTCCTGGACTAGGAACCAGAAGACTGTGAGTTGTAGCCCTCCCTTACATATGAAAGCTGGCTGGGTGGCTCTGGGCCAGTCATTCTCTCTCAGCCCAACCATATTAACAGAGTTGTGGGAAAAATAGAAGGTGAGAGCATTATGCATGTTCCCTTGAGTTGTAGAAAATAAACATGGGAGATGATGATGATGATGATGATGATGATATGGGCATAGTTTTTGAAGCTTGTATATGTGTAAGAGTGTGTACTCCCTCACGCACATATTAAATTATATCTACTTTTGCATGCATAATTTAGTGTCCTATTCATAACTTAATTTATCACCCTTTCTCCAAGCTGTCATATGTAGTTCCCCATTCTACTACCCCCCTGTTTTTTTTATACTTACAACATCCATTTGAGGAAGATGAGGATAAGAAAGAAAGGCTGGGCCAAGATCACCCAGTGAGTTCCACAGGTGGTCTAGCCCTCTTCCCCTTCCAAACCTAGTTGTCCTCTTCCAATATTTGCCTGCCTCCTTCCCACTGGCCTTCATCAGACACTTTCACACATTATTTTCCAAAGGAAAAATAATTTCCCATCCACCTCCCACTCTGGCTATAGTTCCAAAAAGGATGCTGATCCCAACTGCCAACTAGGTTCTCCAAAGGCATGCTGGGTGGCAAATGGAGGCATTGGAACTGCCTGACTCAAGAATGGGAAGAGAGAAAGAATGTGCTGTTTTTTCTAATCTGGGAAGAAACTGTCTTCTGGGCTTGATTTGGAGAGGTGTGGACATTTTTACTTCCCAATGAATGGTTGACAAATGTCTGGAGCAGCTTAAAAGGGGAAAAACTCCCCCTCCCCTTCCATTCTATTTCTGGTACTAGATCAATGTTCTAAAGACCAGTGCTCCATGCTTGCATGGGTCTACCACAAAATGATTTATCTTACAAAGGTGAATTTGCTGTGTACTAGGACTCAGGCCAGGTTGTCAGAATAGAGCCCAACTCGCTATGAAGCAGCAGCCAGCACTTACTGCAATGGCCAGGGGGACATCTGCACAATCACCAGTTGCACTCACAGTGTCATAGGCAGCAAGCACTTTTCTCAAGAGTTCAGGAACAGGTCCTTGGGTCTCCATGGAAGGATACTCCTCACCCAGGTTGAGGGTGACCGCTGGGGGATTGTCCTTCTCGCTGGGCTGAAGCCATGTAGCCAGCTTCAAGATGCATTGCTTGATGTTGGCTGCTGGCGTTAGGCCACACAATTCTTTGAAGGAGACCAATGCATTCTAGGAAAAGAAATGAGGATGAGGAAAAATACCAACTCGAAAGAACATCACCCTGCCCTATTCATTTCTGTTTACTCTTTTCTACCACAAGCTGGCAATCACTCCATCCCCAAGAATGTGAGGGTCTTGGCCCTTCACCCCTCTTTTGGGGGGAAAATTGATGCCATACTGAACATCAGCGTCATTCTGAGCAATTTTGAAGATGGAAGTTCTTTTTCAGCACAGTGACACCTATTATGAAGGCAGTGAGGGATGGGGTGCAGACATCTAATAATCTCTTGTTTTAAATCTACACATGCATGGGGCCCATTGAACTGAGAGCATTGATAGACCAACAGCTGTAATTGTTTGGTTTTAAGGAGGCCTCTTTACTTCATTTCTCCCAGTCTGTAAAATGGAAATACAGGTGGTCCTCAGTTAATGACCACTCATTCAGTGACTGAACTTGCAATGGCGCTGAATGAGTGGTACTTACGACCGGTCCTTGGAGTTCCGGCCATCACAGCACCCCATGGTGACATGGATGCCATTTGCGACCTTCTTTGCTGGCTTCTGACAAGCAAAGTCAATGGGGAAGCCAGCAGGTTGCAAATGGCGACCATGTGACGTCCTCGCTTAATGACCCGCAGTGATTCACTTAACAATGGCAACCAGGAACGTAGGAATTGGCATTGCTAACCAAAGACTACCTGTAGAGTCAAGGATATCAGCAGGGGCAATAGTACTTACTACTAATATCATTGATAATTATATGTATTTTATATCAAATTGATATTGTGCAACAGTTCGGTAATTTATCAGGTTATTTAATTTACTGCAAAAAGTCTCATATACTTCTCCATAGGCTTTAAAATTACTATGGAAATCTGTAAAAAATAGGATTTCACTTGTTGCTTGAATTCTTTTAAATATCTGGGAATAACTATTCCAAAAAATGTTCTCTGTGGATGAAAATACATCACTATTTTAATCTCAGATAAAAAACAACAAATAGTTAAAAATCCAGTTATGGAAAAAGAAACATATTACTCAAGATTTATGTATTTACTTAGAGGTATTCATCTGCTAATAGCTTCAAGTTATTTTAAACAGATTGATAAGATATTAAGCATTTTTCTATGAGAAGGACAAACACCTGGATTCTGTTTATCTAATTTATGGCTCTCATGTGATGATGGGGGTTGTTAACTTTTGTGACCTTCAACTTTATCACGGAGCATATATTTTGACTTCAATTTCTCTACGGAACATAAATGATCATGTCAAAAAACCCACGACGGGCAAGATTAGAAAGTTATTATGTGACCCATCTGATATCATGGCAGGGGCTTCCTTCCACTTTTAGCAATAGCTGTGTTGTATTTCCTGTCTTAGAGGCTACAAAAGACATTTGGAAGATGTTATGACTCAAACATAATGTCGCTCCTTATACTTATACTCTGAAACCATCCCGGTTTGAAAATTGTAGATAAACCTTTGGTTGTTGTTTCCCAAAGTCATGAGAATTTATGGATATTAATACTCTAGCTCAGCTTACAGACAATCAATTTTTAAACTATATGCATTATTACAAGAGAAATCTGGATTGTTTACAACTGCATAACGGCTGTTTATTCAATTAAAAACATTTCTTGATTTCATAATTCAGTCCAAATGAATTAGCAGTGTCTAAAACTCCCAAAATATTGTCAGTTGGAGAATGTGTTTTGAATGATTCTAAATTTGCAGCATTTTTTAAATAAACAAAGAGTATTACTGAGGTGGATATTAGTTATCTGCATGGAGGAATAAAGAATTAGAATATCCCATATTAACAAATCAATGCCTAAGGGTTTTAGAGAATATTAAGTATGTTCCTTACGATATTAAGATAAGACTAATACAACAAAGTATTTTCTTTCACATTTGCCAGACGCTTCAGAGAATGTTTAAGAAGGCAGTTGACTGTCAACTTTACTATGTTGGAAGGATACAACAGATGAGAGAACATTTATGATAAGGGCTTGTTGCATTATTACCCCTTTTAGTTTAGTATCAGTAAGTTTCTTAATATGGTATTACAAAAAATGTGTTTAAAAATGTGAATGCAGTCTTGAATTATATTCCAAAAATGAGAATTTATCATTATTGAAGAGTTATGGATTTACTGAGCATAGGGCACAGCAAAAAAAAGAAAAAAGAAAAAACTACAGTGTTGCAAAGGCAGTGTGACCTCAGTTTACAATCCACAATCCTCATTTGTTTTTATGTACTGGAAAGACTGATCAACATTATTCTATGTGATCAAGGTTTAATGTTCTGTTTAAAAATTGGGCTAAATGGCTTTTTATATGTAATCTAATGTTTTTGCAGTTTTTTTCTTTTTTGGTATTATTATATTATATTATAATTATTATTATTTTAAAGCAATAAGAGTACCTTTTGCAAAAAAGGGATCAAATCTATATTCCAAAGAATTCTCAACAGCTTCACAAAATATCAGCCTCCATCATCTTTGTGCAGACAA